GGTTGCGCATCAACTCCTTCGCTCCAGTCTTCATGGAGAGCTCGGCAGGCTCGTGCGGCACTTCTTCGGTCTGGCAGACATCGGCCGGCGGACTCAAACCCTCGCGGAGGCCCATCACTATGGACCCGAACAACCACTTAGACAGATGCCGTCCTCGACGTCCCTAAATGCCACGTCCAGCGTCGAACGGGGGCGGTCGACCTCCGCTTCCAAATCCACGTCCGTTGCCTTCAGCCAGCGCAGACGGACGGGGGCCCGGGGCTTGAGCTCGGGACGGGCGCGATCGCCCCACTGCCGCGCCTCGCGCAGCCCCGACCCCCCTTCACATGCGAGACGCGACTTGTCTTCCACGCGCGGCCGCGACGTCTTGCAAGGCCTGCAATGGCGCGACCCCGTGGCCCGGTTGGCCGAGCCCTCGCCCAGCCTCTGATCGAACTCGCAGGCCGCCTTTTTCAACTCGGGACTCGTCAACTGCCCAACATCACCTGGCAGCAGCACCTCGTTGCAACGAGTGCGCCCCACCAGCTGGGCCCTGTTGCGGTGACCAATGAGACGGGCGGCGGCGCCTTCGTGCTTCCCCTCTCCACCTCGGACCTCGGCGGAGGTCGCATCTTGCTTCCGTCGCTTCCGCTGGGCAGCCCACGGTGGCCCCCCTCCGTTCGCGCGCGTTGCCCTGGCGCCCCGCAGCTGATCGTTCGCGCGGGCGTCTTCCGCGGTGACCCTCGCGTTCTGCCGCGGCGCGCGCCCGCTTTTCCTGTGCAGCGCGACGTAATTCTTCGCCTCCTCCACGGGGCGCCCCATCCAGCGCCTCGCCATCCTCGTCCGCGAAGAACACCTCGATGTCCTCGGAGCCTTTCGGGGTCTTCTTGAACGGCAGATCTCGCTGCGATTGATTCGCGACGTCAGCCTCGATCTGCGCCGCCGCGGCCATCGCCTCGATCCGCTCGATGGCGCGCGGGCGCAGGGCGCCGTGGAACTTGCGCTGGTCAGCACGTCGGTCAGATCGTGATTCGTCTTGCCCACGGCGTCCAGCGCCGCGCCCCTCGCGACCCCAACCAGGCGCGACCTGGGCGGCTTCGTCAGCGGCGCCCTGTTCTCAATGAGCTCCAGAAGATCTCCGCGATCGCCATCCCCATCATCTTCAGCATCGGACGAAGGGCCCTCTACCGTCCCTGGAGCTGCTCTAGCCGACCTCTCAGGCGCGCGACGAGGGTCTCAGACGATCCTGAAGTGCCGGCGATGGAACATGCCCTGCGTCAGGATACTCATCATCTTCGCCTGCCACTTCCCAGCTCGCGCAAACCTGCTCGCATTCTTCGTCGCCATGTCTCCCAGACATCGCGTCGCTGGGCCGCTGGCCCTCCGCGCCCTCGTCTGGGTCGTCGCCGCCGCCATCTTGTAAGCTGCTCTCCGCCATGAAGCTCGCGCCCAAGATCTCCGCGCCATCGGCGCCTCGCATGCCTTCCGCTCGAAACCCACCGCAGCCCCTGTTCCGTCGCCCAGTGGATGCTTCCATCCAGCATGAAGCATCGCGTTGATTGCACGATCAGACCCCGTCGTCTGTCTGAGCCTCGTCTGGCCCCAAACTTGCGAGAGCTGACCACGTCCGTCTCGAAATTCACGATCAGGCCGAGCTCTCTGCGCGCGTCTTTGCCGACCGGCATCTGCAACTTGGGATCGACAAGGACCGAGACGCCGATCCTCGCGCCAACGTTGAATATCGACGCTGGTCCGGCCCACTTGTCGGGGTACCATCTTCTCGCCGCCCCCGAACCCGAGCGCGCGCAACTGGGGCCCCCGCGTGATCCTTCCTCGGGCCCGCGCAACTTGCGCAGATCATCGTGCCTGTTTACCCTGTCATCGCCGCTTGCTGTCTAATTGCAGGCCGAGCCCACGGCTCCAGCGCCGCCCCGCCGATGGACTCCGAAAGCAGCGCTTCTTCCGCGAACCCTACGCCCGCGCGCCCGGCACTCGGTGGACGAAGCCTTCAGCAGGCCGACGACGCTTTCCTCCTCGATCCTCTCTTTCAATCCAAGTTCTTCTGCCTTTTGCGCCGCTCTTCGATCTTGGGGCAGGTTGCGTCGGCGGTCCAATGGCCAAGTCCACCGCGAATGCGGGATGGCCGCTCTCGTTGATCCTTTTCAATTTGTTTCGCCTCGTCGACCCCGCCCCTGCCGCCCCCCTGTAGCCTGCGAGCACCTGGTTACCCGCGCTTCCGATCCTTTCATGAAGTCCTGCGCGCACTTGTCTCTCTCCCTCACCATGATGGGCCCTTCCATCATCGTCTCCATGCCGCTTTCGAGGTTCGCGAGCCCGTTGGCCAGCTCTGGCTCGCCCCCCCCACCACCCAGCATCGCAACTAAAGCTTCCATCTCGGCAGCAAGGCACTGCTCGAGAGCATTCCCACGCAACCCATCGCGCGTAGTCTCCCGGGCTGCATGCCGGGCGCCGCCGTCCGCGTCGCTGTCCAATTCAGCCGCCAACGCGACGAGTTCGTCCTCCGACAAGCCGTCGAGCTTGCCCGCGCCCTCGGCGACGCTGGCTTCCCTGAACTTCCGAAAGATGCGTCTCCTGGTGATGCTGCATTGCTTGGCGTCGTTCCGCTACGCGCGGTCCACGTGTTGGATGGCATTCCCGCTGGTCGACTTCTTCCCGTCATATGCACTTGGTGGAAGATCTGGATCAGCGCGGGCGCCGCAATCGCCAGTGTCAAGTCTCCTCCCGTCGCAATAGTCAGCATGCTCCCCTGGTGCTCGGCGAGCCCCGTCCTCTCTGCGAGCCACCGCCCAGCCGTGCCCGGCGGTAATCCAATTTCCTTCTCGTCCAGCTGGGTTTTGGCTTCACCGAGCCGAACCACCCGAGAATTCATCGCCTCGCCCGGTCGCCGACGCAGTACTTCGTAAACAAATACATCATGGCAGACGCTTTGGAACTCGACTCGCCCCTTCCGGTGGATCCTAGAACCTCCATCACGTGCGTGATGCCCTTTGATCAGATCTGGGGAGGTGCACTCCGTGGCGTCTTCGTTATGCCCCCACTGGCACGCCTGCGAACCCTCCATCGCAATGCTCTCGGCCAGCGTTTTCGCCAGTCCTGTCAGCCACCTCGCCACCCTTGCAGCCCAACAGAAGTCCTTGTCCAAATTGATACCCTCTGACCACACGGCCACGTCCTTCTTATATCGCCTCCACCTCGTAGAAGCTCCGCCCCACGTCGTTTGGCCCGCCATGCCGAAAAAAACATGGGGCATGGCCGCAATGCCGCTGGTCGCGCCATCGCCCACCCGGCGGCAAGGTCGAAAGAGAAAAACCGCCCACGCAATGTGAGCCCATCATCGGCCACATATCGGGCGTCCGCGGGGCATGGCCGCCACCTCCTTGTCTGGTGGTCGCCATTTCGTCGTCAATGTTATCATTTACGTTCTGTAGTCGATGTCGTTTTCGTCGTGCTGCTGCTCTCCGTCTCACTTTTGTGCGCGATGTTGTTCTGCAGCTCCTGCACGTCGCTGTTCTCGAAGATTTTCTGTTGCTGAAGCACGCGACGGCGCCGCGGAGATATCAACTCCGCCACCACTGTGGAACCGGGGTCGCTCTCCTTTCCCCTGGTCCTCGCAGCGGCGGGGTTGCGGAAACCGCTCTCCCTTTTGATTATTCGGTCGCGGCGCGGCAGAGGCGATCCGCTCGCGCGTCGAGCAAGTCCGGGCCGAGGAGCTCCGATGTGTCCCGCGTGCAAGAGCAGGCAAACGCGTTCCACTACTCGCAAGAGCAGGCAAACGCGTTCCACTACTACTCGCAAAGTCACTACTCGCAAATGGCCTGGATCCGCCGCGGCGGATTCACGATGCATCACGTCGAAGCAGACGTGTGTTTTT